TTAAAGTTGCCAAGGTTGGACACCCCTGGCCTAGAGCCTGGGTGGGCAAGAGGGCCAAACAGCAGACCAAAAACCTCATTCCAAGCGAACCGGTTTGGTGTCAGCTGCTCTTCGGAACTACTGGTTCTATAGAACTGGACCAAACTGGTAGGATCAGTGGTGGTATTCAAATAATGATTTCTTCCAACAACCAATTCACCAAACTGCTCAGAAAGTTAACAACCGGTTCTCCCGAAGTGGTGCGAACTGGTGAATCCCACCCGCTTGATTCCCTCTTCTTTGTGGCAGCCCCTGAGATATCAGAACACTGCTAACCCTGAATAGACTTCTCCAGCACAAGACTTCTTCTGCAAAACATAGACTAATCTCAGAGGCTTTGAACTAACTACTGAGATGTTTGTGCTTCTAGGTCTGGGTCACACGAGCTTGTTTGATTTTGGGAACAGGGATTGTCCCACTTTAGAGAACCAGCTTGGTATAATGGTTAAGGGCCCTAGACTAGAAACCTGGGAGACGGTGAGGTTTTTTTTTTTTATTGGCAGTGGTTTTTATGATGGAGGATTTAAAACAAAAAGATTTTTATTTTTTAAGACAAACATATGCAAACAAAACATAAAAAACATAAGACCATCTTCCATTTTATATACATACAGCGTGTCAGTTGCTGACAAATCTTTTGTGCTATCCTTTCGTAGTCATCACTCACAATTTATGTAAATTCTCACATTGTCACTCTAACATATGCTTATATATTTATCAGTTATTAATCATTCACGACTAAACTATTTATTATGATGGACGATTTTAATGATGCTTTTTAATGTTTTATATTGTAAGCCAGCCAAGAGTTATTGGATACAAGATGGGTGCCAAATTGTCAGAGTATATTCATGAACTGGAATAGAGCTTGGTAACAAGGTCAGCCAATGAATAGGCATAGCAACTAAATCAGCCAATGAGGACTGCTTTGGAAACCGAAACTAGAATTAGCCTAGGCTGGAAACTGAAACCAAAAGTAGCTTAGGCGTGGCTCTTTGTTAAGCTCTGCAGCTATGTTGAGCTCTTGAGTTTGTCCATTGAAGATGAAACTAACTTGCTTGCTGAAGATTGGAGCTCTGCTCTGAACTTGCAATATGTTTCTGTTTGAGTTTGCTCCATGTTGGAGAAATCTACAACTGGTTTGTAAAATCTTATTATGTTTATAAAGACATTAAATGAAGAATCAGCCATCTGTGTTTATTTTTCTGGCACTGAATTATCGCTGCGAAGCTCTCAATACAAATACATTTTATAAATAATGGATATTATTTATAACATCCATTAAATAAATGGATGGATGGATGGATTCTTATTTTTTTCTCTCCTAGTGTTGTGAAAAAGAAAGCTTGGAAGATGAGGAAGAGGATGTAAAAAACGTTTCTATGCACATCACTATTTTAGGGCACTTGCTGTATCCTTCCCATTATTCCTTATGCCAATGTTCAACAATTGTTTTCTGAAAGAAACAATGACACTGGAATACACCACACGGTGCAAGTCCACATGGAATCTGTTCAAAGACAGGGTCATGCTTGCATGGCAGACAATCTTATCAATATATTCTGGTTGGGTTTTTAAAAAATATTTGTCTTAGCTACAGTTTCCCCCATGGGCTGTCTCTCACCAACACGTGAGCATGCATGGATGCACACAAACACGGACAAGTCAGACGTCAGCTACAGGCAGAAATGGCCGCAGTGTGTATGTGGCTTTGTTTGCTCAGTTGTAAACCTCCTTGCAGGGAGACTTAGTGAGAAAGGCAAACATGAGCTGGGGGTGTGTGGAAGAAACAGACAGAGGGGGAGAGAGAGGGGGAAAGAGGGAAGGAGAGGGAGGAAGAGAGGGAAGAAGAGAGGGGGTGGGAGGCAGAAGGTGAGAGAAGAAGAAGGAGGGAGGGAGAGGGTGAGAGGAAAAGGGAGGGAGAGAGGGGGAAAGAGGAAGGGAGAGGGAGGAAGAGGTAAGGAAGAAGAGAGAAGGTGTGGGAGGAAGAGG